AAGCCCTAATCCCATCCTGCCCCTCCCCCACCTCGGTCCTTTGTGTGTGTTTCTGTGCTGAAACGGGGCTCTCTTCCCTTCTCTGTGTGCGCGTCTCGGACGTCGGTGTGTGTATCTGTGTCGGGCTATGTTGCTGTGTGTGATTGTGGCTGGGTGTGCGTTGGCTCGGGGGCTGTCCAGGGTGGTCTGTTGCATGTAGGTCAGGGGCCCGTGCTCTGTCGGGCTGGCGTATTCCACTGCTTTGATCCTGCGGATTAATTTTTAATGGTCCGGCGTTTAAGCTCCTGCATATTTAATGGGAGTTTGCTCAGTGTGCCGGGTGAGCGATGGCGACAGCGTCACACACCGACAATGAGAGACAAAGACACAACTGTTGTTGCAAGCTGAGGTCACCCCCCAGTGTCTGCGCTTTAAACAGAATAATAGATTGTAGCCGGGGGGGTGGGTGAGGGGTGAGGGACGGGTGTGGGGAGGTTTCTCTTCCAAGAAACAAGTCCGGGCCTCGAGCCGGGTGGTTAGAAAACGAGGCTCCGCACACGGGAGAGCGGCAGGGACAGAGGAGAAGACCACCAGCCCCCCTCAGCCCCTCTTTGTGGCCGCAGAAGCCTGATGCAGACGATTTCTCCTGAACACGACTATCCCACACCTGTGTCCTGGGAACCAGCTTCCTCTGCTGCCTTTCCTTATCGTGGCTGGACTGCCAGTGCTCAGAGAGGGGTTCTGGCGCTGTGGCTGATGGACAGACAAACAGACAAACTGGCCGACAGGACTGTGAGGCAGGGAGGAGTGCTGTCAGGCGACCAGCCTGCTCAGATCACGTTTCCTCTTTGGGAACAGTGAAGTCTCTGCTCTCAGAGCCCACATACTTACGTAGGGCACCCTTGTTTCAGATACCACTGGTACCCCACCTGTCCTGCCATCACACCGCCCCAAGTCCCACAGGCAGCGGCCTGCCCCTGAGTGCTCTTGACCTTTGACCCCCGGGGCTGCTTCCTGTGCTGGGCTGGGTGAGGAACGTCCCCCCCAGTCCCCCTGCTCCCCTCCATCTCTTGATCTCTCACGCACTGTGGCCCCCGCAACTTCTCCATCTGCCTCTCCTGGCCTCTTCCCTCGGGGCTGCAGGCGGTCCTGTGTCTGCTGTCCTCCCTCGCCCCCGTGCCAGGCGCTGGGTACCCATTAATCACCACGCTGTCATCTCTCCACCTCCTGTCTGAGGTCACCCCCCCTGCTGGCAGGACCAGGCCCTTGGAGCCACATTCAGCAGCAGGTTCTCCCAGTCCACCTGCATTCAGGGGCGGTCGGGGGGTCTTTACGCACAGCTGAGACATCACAGCCCTCTCCCCTCAGACCAGCAGAGGGGGTTCCTCATGCATTCTTAAAAAACACCAAAACATGTCTGCATTAAAAAAACAATCCCTGGTTCACACAGATGACATCAGTAGTGCCTGTTAATTGGAGTGTCATCTGTCATCACCCCAGCTTGTTGCAGCCTGTGTCATCCCAGCTGTCTTGCTGTGCAGGAGCTGGGCCACCTAAGGCTTTCATAAGGGACCAGTGCTGGTGTGTGGAAATTTCCAGGGAAGCAGAAAACAGGCAGGTTTTCCTCCAGAACTTCAAACACGGCCCTTCCCTGCTCCTGCTCCTGCTCCTCCCTGCCTTTGAATTTTCCTGCCTCTGCCTCTGTCCCTGCTCCTCCCTGACTCTGCTCCTTCTTGCCCCTGCCTCTGAATCTTCCTGCCCCTCCCTGCCTCTGCTCCTGCCCCTCCCTGCTCCTGCCCCTTCCCCTCCCTGCCTCTGCCCCTGCCCCTCCCTGCCTCTGCCCCTGCCCCTGCCCCTCCCTGCCTCCTCTGCACCCTCCTGCCTCTGCCCCTCCGGCTCAGCTGCAGTCTCTCGGACTGCAGCAGCAGTCGCTCTGTCTCGGCTGCACCGGATGAGGTCTGTCCTTCAGCCTGTCCCTCTGCGGGGGCCGAGGAGCGGTTTCTGGGACACCGCTCTGCCTGTGCGCTGGCGGGGCTGCGGGGGAGCTGGCAGGTATCCGCTGGCGACAGGCTGTGAGTGGGCTGCTGGGCTCTTCAACAGGAGCCCAGGCACAGGCAGGTTATATAATCCTTCTGGATTCCAACAGGATCCCTTCGCAGGTTAAATACTGTCTGTCCAAAAGGCCCCAGCAATCGTCTCTGTGTCCCTGCATCTGTGCTGCAGGCTGTGAGGTGTCAGCCAGGTGCACTGGTCAGTAAACCCCAGGGGCGACTGTATGCCAGCCTGTGCTCTGAGTGGAGAGTATTGTCCTGTAGTATTTCTCTCCTGGACCACTGTCCTTCATGACTGTAGCAGCGTTATGAAGGTTAAGCAGACTCAGAACTGCTGCTTTAACCTATATAGCGCATATTACAACAAGAAGAGGAAGATGGCATTGTGCTGTTGTTTTCAAGCAGTGTGTGGAGTCGAATGCATGTGTGTTGCATAATCGAGCAGCCCACGATTTCAGCTAAAAATGGCGAGCCCAAGACATTTAAATAGAAGTGGCTTTTGAAACACACTCCACACAGAGCCTGCCAGTGAGTCAGCCCTGCAGTACGGGGGTGACGTGAGCAAGGGTGTGGCCCAGAAGTCTCATGAGCTTCACCCTCTGGAAGTGGGGTGCTGGGACATGCAGTTGGAGGGGGTCAGTGTGTCACATGCCTGCTGTGAACGAGGGGGGAGGTGATGGCAATAGAATCCATTCTTGGAGCTCCATGGCTCCTGCACTGTTTGATATTGAGCCCTCGCCGCTGAGGAGGGCTGGAGGAGGCAGTGGGGTTGTGATGGTCCTCTCACGCTGCTGGCTGTCCTCATCGCTGACCACATGACCCCACCTCTGCCTCCCCTCTCCAGCCTGGGGTGACCACTCAGGACAAGTGGAGGACCGCTGGCAGAGGTGGGTTTTCATTGTGGTGGTGCTGCTCTGGAGGGAGAGAGCGCACTGAGCCCCTGGGCGCACACACACACACACTCTCAGACACACACACACACACACAGCAAACTGTCCAGGATTATGAAAATGGCAGGGAAAATAACTAGGAAACAGCAGCCCCAGCTCTGTGCCGCCTCTCATAATACAGTTCTCAGAACAGCCAGGAACATCACAGCTGACCTCCACACTCCCACTCCATTCTCAATTCATAGCGCTCCCCTCAGGAAGAAGGTACAGGGGACTGGATTCAAATAAAAATATCTATAACAAGTCCCCTCTGCAATAAAACTACTCAATGAGGGTATGTAAATATAGTGCCCTGCTATCTACTTATTTACCCATTTATGTATTTCAGGTGATTTTATGTGACTCTTATGTTTTCCTCCTGCGTTTTGTTCTTCTGTGGGAGAAGCCAAAGACAAATTTCCACAGCAGGGGACAATAAAGTGTCTGTCTCTCTAAACTGAGCGTTTCTGACGCCAACCCCTCGCTGCACCGTGCCAGCAGGGAGGGGGAAACTGAGTATTTTTTTGGGGGGGTGGGGGGCTGTAACTGCCCCTCCTTCTCTCGGTTCAAAGAGAGCGACAAACACCTGCGGGACCAGAGCTCTCCGGACCGCTGTGCGGTCAGTCGGTGCCACCCCAAGTCTTCTGCGGGGGACTCGGCAGGGGATCAGATTCTTTAAGGTCAGGCAGGCGAACTGCGGAGGAAAGGAGAGAGACCTGGGTGTTGGAGGGGTGATGAGGTGGGGGTGAAAACGCTGGTGACGTCTGTGCAGGAGCTGGAGGGACAGTTCTGGCTGTGGGGCTGGGCTGGTCAGTCATGTGTGTCTCACAGGACCGGCCTTCTCCCCATGACGCCACGCAGGCCTCCTCCTACCACGTGTGTGTGTGTGTGTGTGTGTTTGTGTGTGTGTGTGGGGAGTCCCCACCGTGACCACAGCCGCACTTGTGACTGCAGGGGATGCAGTTTCAGAAGGAAGTGTTTAAAAAAAGGACCAGAAAGAAAATCGAAGCCACAGAGCAGCGCAGGCCCCAGCTGTGAGAGAGGATTCACACGCGTGTGTGCGTGTGTGCGTGTGTGCGTGCCTGTGTGCCTGTGTTTGTGTGCAGCCTGGCTGTGGTCTGGCCGTTGTACAGGAGACAGTCAGATTAAGGGTGTGGACAGCCCGTTATCTTAGTCCAGCTGTTTGTTGCTGGTTTAGAGAGTCACTTTTCACAGCGAAGCCCCTGAGCTCTGCACAGTTGTGCTGGGTGTGTGGTGGGGGTGGGGACAGCGTTTAGCCCCTTGCTCCTGAATCCACTAATCCATCCAGCATCCGGAGGCCAGTTACTCCAGGGTGAAGGCTGGAGAAACCCAGGTCCGAACCCGGAGGTCTAAGACATGAAGACAACGACGGAGTCAGTTAACCCATTAAGGGAGCAGAGTGATCACAGCAGGCCCTGTGGGTTTGTGCAGGGGCTGAATGGGGTCGCGAGAGACAGGGAGAATTCTGAGCAGCAGCTTTTCAAACGTCACACCTGGACACAAGCGGGTTAACGCCCTTGGCCAGCCCGGATGCCAGCGAGTTGCAACCCAGCTCCCAAAGGCAGTCTTGTTATTGTTTTGCAAGTGCCCCGCGACCGCAGATCGGCACGGGCGACAGGTACGGAGGCTCGTTGGGGTCAAAGTCCGCCCAACCCGCCGATAAGCAAAGCCGGTTCCGGGAGTGGAGTGTGCAGGCGGGGGCTGGCCTCTCCCCGAAACTGCCATCTGCGGACCGGGATGTCAGCGTTTCTAGTGAATCCGCCATGAGGTCATCCCTCATGGGCTCATTCCTGAATTCGTAGTAAACGAGGAGGGGTATGCTTTGGAAATGTGTTATACACAGGATGACACAGGAAATCGATTGCCTCAATAAACAAAACATACGTAACTGCGGCCCATTCGAATACTATTACACATACTATATGTGGGGAGCCTGTGAGCTGTAAAACATGACGACATCTTTCTACGTGATTCAAATATTTCGGGATGTTTGGGCTCTAACACTGTGAAATTCCCATGGCACTGTATTTGCCGTAACATCTGTCGTGTGTTCAGATTTATTTCCCTTTATACTAACGACTGAGCATTGCTGTGATCTAACGTCTACCAACTGCTACATTTTTTCGCCAATGTGCCAGCAGAGTTACTCTAAAGCCGTAAAACAAGCGAGCTCCGCGTATAATAAACGAAATTAACCCGCGACCCGATTAAATTAACTAATTCAAAGGCAGCAGGAGACCGTGCTAGTGTAATATGTTGATTTTTGTTTTAAAGACCAGCCTCCCGAGCGCAGCGCCTTCCAGGCAGTAGCGCAATGGTTAACCTGCCACGCGCACACGTGTTTTTTTTTTTTGCCTCTCTCTCTCTCCGTCTCTCCTTTTTTTTTTAATAGCTGTGGGAACGAGCAGCTGCAGTCGGAGCTGTTGTACTGTACTGGCAGCAGGCAGCACCGCGCAGCTGCTGGGCCGGGGGAAAAAAGCGCTGCATCCCCACTGCACTCCAGTCGCGCAGGCGGAGGGAGAGGCGGGGAGCGGGCGAGCCCTTCGCCGCCGAGCCGGAGGGGAGGCGCCTGCCCGGGGTTCCGCTCCGCAGACACGACGATCCTCAGAGCCATTGCACTAGCGCGGAGCCAGAGAGCGCGGCGCCCGTCCACCTGGGCAGCGGCGCTATCCTCGGAAGAGAACCTGCGTTGTTTACAATCTGCCTCAGCCTGTTTCGTCTCGGTTTGCCCCCTCCCGTCACATTATTTCGGTTCCTGGGGGGGGGGGTGTTTATTGAAGACTTGATTGTCACCAACAGCAGTAATCGGCGCTATTGACCAGGCTCGTGGAGATCCAGACTTGGTTTGAAAAGCAGAGAGACGACTCCTGATCCTGCCGCACGGCGCAGGTCCCTGTGAAGACGGTCTGCGCCCGAGGCGCTCGGAGAGGCGCTGGGCAGGGAGACGTCAGGAAGCGGGGCTGTTCAGCAGGTTTTCTCTGCTGCTCTATCCAGCAACGTCCAGACCCGTGTGAGAGAGGAGGAGAGGATCTGCCGCCGCGGTGCCACCACACAACTGCCTGCCCTCTTTTTTTTTTTGTTTCAGGACTGATCTTTTTAACCCGCTCAGAATCGGACAGATGGCTCTTGAACCGCGGTGGCCGTGAAAGCTGGTGCAAACTCGAAATATTTTCCGAGACTCCTGTTTGTTTTAATCATCACCCATCATTTCTCATCACCACATCGTTTAAAAAGGAGGTTCTGTTTTCTTCCTTTCCGGATATTTGTACTTTTTACGTTATTTTTTTTCCCAACACCCCCCCCAAAATGCCGGCTGGCATGAAGCCGCTGGAAAAGTTTTTGAAGAAGCAGACCACCGCGCTGACCCGGGCCGGAGGGTTCGGGGACAAAGCGGGCGGCAACGGCGCCTCCCGCAGGCGGGCCAGCCTCTCCCGCGTCGTGCCTTTCTTCCGGGAGACCTCGCCGGAGAGCGGCCCGGCTCGGGAGGTCTTCAGCCCGGACTCGGAGGAGCCCCCGTGCTGGCCCCCGGCGGCCGCCGACTTCAGGAGCCCGTCCCTGTCCAGCGACGAGCAGAGCTCGGAGGGCAGCCTGGAGGCGGCCTGGACGCCGCTGCCCGCGGACACACCTGAGAAGCTGGTGCTGACGCTGCTGGACAGCGTGGCGGGCGGCCGCCGGCAGGGCAGCAGCGCAGGTAAGAGGGGTCCTAACCTCATTCTGTCAGCCGGCCGCCGCGTCCACCTGAGTGCGCACCGACGTGCGCCTGGTTTCCACGAGTCTTGAGCAAAAACGTGTCCTTTACTTTGTGCATCATGTATTTCTGTGGAGAACCTGCTCGATCCACTGCACGCCAACGCTTATTTCTGAAGAAAAAAAGGCCTATCACCTATTTCGGAAAAACAAAATAGACTCTTTCGTGGTTTTAGCAAACGTGCATCGGTTGTTCTTCCTATAATTCGGATTTTAAAAGCGGTGCACTATGCGGGACACAGCTGTTTCTCCCAGACAGGTTTTAATTTCGCAAAACGCTATAGAATCCGGGAATCGGGCATGGAAAGGCGATTGGAAATAACAACTGCGGAGGTAGTCGCAGGTAGTGGCAGTAACGTGGGGGGTGTTTCATGTCGTTCCGGGCAATTAGGAAGCGCTTCTGTTTTCGCAGGAAAACAACTTTGACAGCGCGCTAGAAAGCGGCTGTACGGGAATATTCCAGCCGTGCGCTGTAGTTTTCACATGAATTATTTTACGGTTATATTTTGCCCCAGATATTACGGTTATATACAGTTGCTGGCAGAGAATGCTATAGAATTCGCTGTTACATAACAGGTTTTAACCGTGCACTGCGGGGTTAGTCCGGTCGCGATCTTTCCGGGCTGCGGGACACAGCGCCCGGACCCTCCGGAGCGCCACAGAGCGAGACCTGCGCAGAGGGTGTTTTTTGCAGCATCAGCTACGTGTCCCGTCTGTAAAGCGACCTGACATGTCATGCCAGGGCCCGTTTTATTTTATTTTATTTTATTTTTTCCCTGACACAACTCGATACCCCTTCAAACAGCAGCCAGTCCGCATCTGTCCGGCGTGCTCACCTGAGGTCTCGTCTTTCCTTCGCTGGCAAGCGACGCTCTGTATTTACCCCGCGCCAAGCGGGAACTAGAGACTTTCCTTTCGGACGTGTGAATTCATGAATTGGAAATTAGGTCACACCTCGCGTTTGTAAACCCGCTACTGCGCTGCATTGGCAAGATACTGCTGCTGGCTCTGGGGAATGCTGTGAGGAAAACCAGGCCATGTTGTCTTTTCCAGAGTTGTATCCCTCAGAGGTGTGAAACTGCAGCGATGAGAGACCGAGGCTGATCTCTGAAGGAGCTGAGCCTGGCTGTGTTGATTGCTTGTGTGGCCTAGATTGCTTTGTAAATCCCTTATTAGTAAAACAAAAAATAGCACATTGGCCCCCAGAAATGTGGCTTTCAGGAGCTACAACAAGGAGGTGTGACTTTTGTATCAAATGGATGCAGGAGTAGTGTAATTCGCAGTGGTGCCCTGTGTGTCCAGTAGGGAGTGGGGTAACGGCAGTGTTTGGGAGTCCCTGGCTGCTGGGAGGCCTTTGGAGAGTGTTGAACTGGTCCTGGAGATGACAAATCGGGCTGCGTGTCTTAAGGAGTCTTAAGACGAGTCTCTCCCTCCTCTGCAAAGCCTAATGCAGCTCCCTAAGAGAGCAGATCACTTTATTGGCCATTTCAATAAAATACCATTTCTTGCATTAGGAATTTGTCTTTTCGCATACCCCAGCTTGCTCTCCATGAGACACACAGACACACATACAGAGAGAGAAGCTGGGGGTCAGAGCGCAGGGTCAGCCATTTATACGGCGCCCCTGGAGCAGTTGGGGTTAAGGGCCTTGCTCAGGGGCCCAACGGAGTAGGATTCCTCTGCCGGCCGCAGTATTCGAACCAGCAACCTTCCAGCCACAGGCGCAGATCCTGAGCCACCGCTCTGCGTCAGACATAGGGGGAGGGGGCCAGTGTCTCCCCCCTCCCCCCAACGCGTAGTGAAGTCTGGTTCTGGACGGGCTCAGTTCTGGAGCCCAGCTGGTGCTGTTGTAATTACTGCGTGTCGGAGGAGTTTTAAAAAAACCCCAGAACTGGTCCGTAGGTACCAAAAGGTTTTTGCTCCTGATTAAGCTGCAGGAGGACAGCTGGCTCGGGACCTACAGGTGGGAGCCCTCCCCAGCCACAGGGAGCTGGGCTTCTTGTGCCAAACGAGCAGTCAGCTGCCTAATGGAGTCAAGCCCTGGCTTAATGAGGGTTAAACCCACAAGTCTGTACAGGTGCGCCTCTCTGTTGCGGGGCTACAGAGCCACAGAGCCAGCCTGCACAAACACGGGCCAGGAAATCGAAAACAGGAGGGTTCTGGCAGCTGGAGCTTAAGGCGGTTTTAGTAAACCAAAGGAGAAGAGCCAGAGAGAAAAACACAGCCATCGCACGCCTCCTGTCCAGGTGCATTATGGGACGGTCTGGTGTTTTGGAAAAACAACCCCGGGCACGCCCACTCTGCGGGAACCTCCCCTCGTCCTGCCCCGTCCTGCCCTGTCCTGTTCCGTCCTGCCCCGTCCGTAGTGCCGGGAGAGGGACATTGCCGAACCTCGCGGTGACCTCGCTGCGGTTGTCAAGTGTTCAGAGATGGGGGGCGGGGGCGTCATGGCCGCCTTCCCGACTGTGGCCCCACGCTCTGTAGCCGAGGCAACCAGCTGAACCGGTGTTTAAAATCCCACTGATGACTGGAGAGTGTCTGACAGCTCGGGATTTGTTTTCTGAAGGGATCCTGGATGGTTCCCCTAAAAATAACCATCCATCTGGAGGAATAGAAACTGACCCCACGGTAAGGCACTGTATGAGGGAGCCCCCCAGCAGAATTAAGAGGGGGGGGAGGGTGTTTCTGGGCTGTGTGGTGGTGGCACTCCTGAAACAGGCGTGGACAGGTGCCAGAGGGAACCAGGGGCTGAGTGTGACTGCGTCCCGCCCCAGCGCGTCGGCCTTCCAGGAAAGTTCCCCCCCCCCCCAGCAGGAAACCCCCCGCTGGGAAGCACGCTCCGGAGACAGTTGGGGAATCTCGGAGTTTCCAGCTGCAGCTCCCGCAGGGAGCTCGGGAGTCAGTTTCCCGGCACGCTTCGGAGTGCGTGGGAACCGCAGTCGCTGTGCGCCCCTCCCACTCCGGCCCCGGAGAAATTCCCCTTTTCCTCCATGGCTTTCCATGGTGGGTGTGGCTGTGCGGCACCTGCCCCGGGGCGCTATAGGAAGGGCCAGGACCCTCAGGGCCCGGCAGAGCCCGCGTCGGACAGCACCAGTCCCCTCTCTGTCCCTGCTTTCGGCTCATGTGCTCTGTGGAACCCGAGTGACACCAGAGTAGGGTAGACATCGTTCTGCTAGGCTCTGCCCACTGAATTAAGAAGGGTGGGGGGGCAGCTGTCTTCTCTCCGACGCGAGGAGGTGTGGACGCGACCTGGAGCCGAACCGGGGATGTGCGTGTCCGGTGTGCTCTGGAGCACAGCCGCCCAGCTCAGTCCAGCGGGTGCAGGCCAGCCCGGCTCGCTCAGGTGCCACAGGTGGGCAGAGGCTGACCGCACCGCTGGCGGGGGGGGGGG